CACAACGCGGCGATGTGTCGCGCCCTGTGGCAACCAGCAGTTCTTCCTAGAACTGCTGCCTTCCTGCTATCTAACTAGGTCATTGAGCAATGACAGTGATGTCTCATCACATTGCTCAATGGCCTCATCTTAACATAAAAATTGGCTCACAACAGTATTAAGGTAAAATTGTTGAGAAATCACTAGTTGACGAGATATTTTTAATTTTATTCTGTTATGTTCTGGAATAAAGTATGAAATTTAAAATATCGTAAATTATTTTTCTACAATTCTATTTTTATACTTTTATATGCAGACTAGCCAGAGGAATCATATTATATAAATTAAATTTATATAATTCCATTTGAAAAAATGAAAATAATCTTCATATGACATTAAAAAATTAATTTTTCCAAAATTAACTTTACCATTACATGGATACACCTGTAGTCTAAAATTTTTCAATAAAATGCACAATTCTGAAATAACAGTTTGACACTGTCGCTCTGAAACACCCTACATATACGAAGTGTCTAAGACTTGTACATCTGTTTTAAAATACAGGAAAGTTGTTTTTCTAAAAAATATTTTAAAATCAGTTTTTTAAAAATAAAATCATGATTTCTTACATAATGTGGTTTCTTTAGTTCTATTACACATAAAAGCATTAAAGTAGTATGTTGAAAAAATTTATAAAGTTTATGAAATACTTAATAATTTATTTTGATGTTTCAGTATGAAATGTAACTTAAAAATTATAAATATTTTTAAAATAGTACCTTAATAATTTTATACCCCGAATAATGAGATGTATCAATTGATGTAAAGAAAATACATAGATGCTTTAAAAAATGTATACAATTGCATATGACAATTCACATTATTTTCTTTCTTTACATCTAATGATTTATTTTATAATTCTATATGAAAAAATATTATGGCATGATTATCAAAATATCAATAGTTTATGAGACATTTCATATTTTACGTCAAAGTATACTAGAAAGAAGTATCAAATATTTCATACTATTAATTTTTCTATAACTTTACCTTACACGTAAAGTAATTAGAGAAATCACTTTATATAAAAAAATTATGTCATTCTTTTAAAAGATAACAATGATCTATAATCTATATGTAACAATGACCTTAAAAAATGAATTTTTGTGAAAATTGATTTTACCGGATATGATTTGTATCCAGACCATACAATTTCTGTTTTAAAGATTTTTATAGAAATTATTTACTTTATTTTGAAATGGCTGCATGGATGATTTCAGATATCTTGTGTGTTCATATTGAATTTAATTTTAAAAGCAAGTTAAATTCTGTATAATAATCTCTTAATTTAAAAATATAAAAATTTATTAGATTGTTTATGCAATATTTAAAGATATATAAGTACATAATACACAGTTTGTCCGGAAAGTTCCCGGACTGATTTTTTCTAGCGCGGGTAAGCGGCGCTATCGAGCGGTCAACGCTGGAACTACTTAGTAT